AGCGTCACTTCAAACACTGCACGCCTGTGCTTGCAAGACCAAATAGATGACACTGTAGATCGCATCTTCTCAGACCTATCCAGCGAGCTCGGAAAAACACGTTGTTCGAAGAATTACCTAATTATTTTGGTGAAAAAGACTGAGGAGACAGCTAGTGTAGGAATATAGATACTTTTTTATTTGCATTTCTGGGGAAAACGTGATTTCTTAAAATCATTTTACGTTATTTTTTTCCAATTATTACATACACATCATTATTCTAAACATTTGTTGTAATGTTGTGTCTGCTGATCATGAACGGAACTAATTTTTTTTCAGAGCAATTTTATGAAGAGTACCTGACTTTGGTATTTATCTTGAATAGATAGTATGCACTGATCGAATATATTAAAAAAGGTTATCCGGCGGTACGACCGTAAATGAACTTAGATTGAATACTTAATACCCCAATACCTGGTCCTACAGATATGGCATGTTATGTAATCTTTAAAATAAATGTCTTCTCTTTCAAGGAGAATAATAGTGGTAAAAACTGGACAATATTATAAAATCTGAACACGAGCAAAACAGTTTACGTATGTGGGATACTTGTGATAAATGGAATACAGTAAAAACAATAGATACCTTGATCAGGACAGGCTTCTCTCATTCGCTATTACAGTTTTAGCAATTAGACCATAAAGTTAAATTATGATTAAAAATTTACATTTCAATATGGGAGAAATTTTTTTTTGTAAAACGCATTTAATTAAAACCCAGAACTTCGATTAAATCTCTGTTAGAAACACAGACTTATGGTCCACGTATTGCAGTCCTTTTTTAAAGGACAGCAACTTATATTTACTATATGCATGCTAAACTGATAGTTCATGCATTTGCGGCAAAGAAAAAAAATGGCATCCATGGATAGTATAAGACTACGATAGAATCTGACAAATATGGTCCCATAACCTTCAAATGAATAATTGAATTAAAATTATTAGAAATAACTATTTTACATTTTATTAATACATGTTTCCAACAATCCTCCAAAAGTGAACAGTCTGTCATTACTGCAATTGTCAATCTACACGAACCATTGTTGAATACCGATCCCGATGTATTTTTATGGAATATAAGTCTGTGTGGTAACTGAATATCATACAGTTTCAAAGTACTTTTTTGATGAGCTTAACATGTTTCCAATAATCATTCAAAAGAGACACAAGTAGAGCTTTTTCAAAAAGCTTGGCCGTCTTTGGCAACAACCTTAAACAGTAAACTGGCATACACCTATCAGGTCGTATTATTCTTGAGCATTTATTTCTTCATTAACATTTTACTGACATAAGTCCTACCATGTAAGAATTCAACCAGACGCTCGGCTTTCTCCGTAACCTTCAACTCCGCTGCTGGTAGGAGTTTACGGAGAAAGCCGAGTGATTAGAAAAACAGTGCAAAACAATTAAAAAGAATAAATACAATCTAAAAAGCTGACAAGCAATAAAGAAAATTTCTGTTTACACTGAAAATAAAAAAAAAAAACGCCTTTCAGTATTTGCTATAAAACAAGATGTGTTTGTGAAACACTGATGCCCCCGTATGGCAACTTATAGCAAAGGTTAAACTTTCTCAAATGCAAATCAAATAGGTTGGTACCCAAAGTAAGATCTTGTCTCGAGGAATATACCTGTGAAATATGAAATCCTTAGCAGCAACCATTGAATAGATATGGAAAAGGTTAAAGTTTTTCAAAAGTAAGTCAAACATCAAGGTCAAGGTCAAATGGTCAAAATGCCTAAGGAAAGGCCATCTCACAAGAAATATACAGTTGAAATGTGAAAGCTGAAGAACCAATCGTTCAAAAGTTATGACCATGGTTAAAGTTTTTCAAAAGTAGGTCAAACTCCAAGGTCAAGGTCAATAGATTACAATTGTTGGTATCCAAAGGAAGGTCTTGTCACAAGGAAAACACATGTTAAATATGAAAGCCCTAGCAACAACTTTTCAAAAGTTGTGTCCAAGGTTAAAGTTTTCCAAAAGTAGGTCAAAGTCAAAGGTCAAAAGTTGTTGGTATCCAAAGGAAGGTCTTGTCACAAGAATTACATATGTGAAGTATGAAAGCCCTAGCACCAGCCGTTCAAAAGTTATGGCCAATGTTAAAGTTTTTCACAAGTAGGTCAAACTCCAAGGTCAAGGTCAAGGGGTCATAGTTGTTGGTATTCAAAGGAAGGTCTTGTCACAAGGATTACATATGTGAAGTATGAAAGTCTTAGCACCAGCCGTTCAAAAGTTATGGCCAATGTTAAAGTTTTTCAAAAGTAGGTCAAACTCCAAGGTCAAGGTGAAAGGGTCAAAGTTGTTGGTATCCAAAGGAAGGTCTTGTCACAATGATTCAACATGTGAAATATGAAAGCCCTAGCAGCAATTGTTCAAAAGTTATGGCCAAGGTTAAAGTTGGGGAAAATTTTGCAAAACTGGATCAAACTCCAAGGTCAAGGTCAAAAGGTCAAATATGGTGGTATCCAAAGAAAGGTCTTGTCACAAGGAATACACGTGTGAAATATGAAAGCCATAGCTCCAACCAATTAAAAGTTATGGGCAATGTTAAAGTTTTTGCGGAAAAACAGACAAACAAACAGACAGACAGCTAGACAGACAGACGGACAGACAGACAGGGCAAAAACTATATACCCCCGAATCTTCGATACGGGGGCATAAAAATACCAAACTGACAGCTGTTTTGTATTCAGGGTAAATACAAGTTATCGATACATGTATATGATAATTAGAAGTGGACTCTCTTTATTTCTTCAAAGTGGATGATCTATGATAACCCAATAGACTAAGGTGCAATTTGCCATTTTACGGTCATTGCATTGCAAGGCCTATCTTAGGCGATGTTCTGCAACTAAAACCTCTACACATCTGTGCATCGATATAGTCGATCAAATTAAAGTAGAGAGTTACTTTTTAAATGAAGCATAAAAATATTTTCTTGTCATTTATTTATAAGCATTTGGACACCGCGATCAAGGTAGGACGTTTCTCCGGTTCAATATATACCGTTTGAGAATATTGTCCTCTCCAGGGTTTGTGGATTCTGGATCATCCCAATAAAAATCTTTTTTTGATAATATTTTCTAAAAAATAGCATAAATTGTCACAATTTCATATTCTCATAACATAATATACATTTATTGCATGATAGTGAGGGAAATATGAAGATTTATTCAGCCAAGAAATATCATATTTCCCGAGGGCTTCGCCCGAGGGAAATATGATATTTCTTGGCTGAATAAATCTTCATGTTTCCCGAACATTCATGCAATGAATTGTTTATTATACCGAAACAAGCAAAAACTTTGAAATAAACATAAACTTTCAAATTCGGCACCGCTCGAAAATTCACTTTCATTTTTAACGTAAAGTTACTGAAACCCTTTGACACATCACTAATCATCAATTTTGTGACGTAAACCAGGCTATTGTGACGTCTACTACTCTCGGGAGTTTTCTTTCAACGAACGATAACTATTGTGGGAAAATGCACTAGGTATCCGAAGAGGGGGAATATGATGAAAAGCATGCCGACGACCGTGAAATATGAAGTTTTATGGCCCGATCACGTGATAATCTAGAACCAATCAGATAACGCGTTGTGTAGAATAATTATAATGAGGTATAATAATAAACAATTATCGCATAAATGTTCGGGAGACATGAAGAATTCTTGGCCCATGAAAAATCAAATTCCCCTCGGGCGTTGCCCTCAAGGAATATGATTTTTCATGGGCGAAGAAATCGTCATCCCTCCCTCATTGCCATGCAATAAATGTATAGTGCTAAGAGGGTGTCCGATGCATGGTAAACTCACCCTATAGCATTCTGTTACTGCCATAAACGTCATCTTTAAGCAAACTTTGCCGTCATTCTTGACTATTGTTTGGAAAAAATTTTAACATGATGAGCTTAATTAAGAAACTGAGAAGCAGAATCTAGCTGCGGTTAACTAGAAAAACTAATTGCTCAGTCACTTAGGGTATGGACCCTCCCTCATCCCCCTTTTTAATTAATTTTCCTTTTTCAAACTAGGATCGAAAAGCTTTTTTCCTCTTCGTGTATTTTTATATTCATTAAATACCATCGATAATGTTACTCTTTTGTCTCTATAAACTGTATTTAAATATCTCCTTTTCGACTGATACATAAAAAACACGAAAACAAGATATTAATTTGATTTTGGTTGTAACGCGTCATTTGATTGGATAAAAAAATAAGTTTATATCGTATAACCTGTGTTGCCTACGTCACAATGACGTACGTAAAAACGTATCAATCCGCTTGACGTTATATTTAAAATACGTACAATTTGAAAGCATTTTTGAAGGAGAAATTGTCTTATTTTGTACAATTAATGATAGTAAATTAAATTATAAAGAATGGATTTAATAGCTACCCGTGTTATACTGGTATTACCTGGGTTGGAACAGTTTATGCATTTTAATAAACCGCTTCGCAGTTAATAAAGTGTAAACTGCCCAATCCAGGTTATACAGTATAACTTGGGTAGCTATTAAATTCATTCCTTAATATAAATTTAAAATTAACTCAAGAAAAAAGGGTTACATCATCGGTGACATGTAATGAATATTAGAATACACGATGAGAAAAAAGTGTGTCGATCCCATATTTCAAAAGAAAAAATTGAAAGGGGGGGGGGGGTTCCAAACCCAAAGTGTCTCTGATTGTGCCGTCTTTGGCGAAAGGATAAGGAATAGAGAAAAGATACAACTTCGACATCCAATTGCAAACCGTGGTTTTTTTTACTAAGAAGTATGGTAAGTTTCTGATTATTCATGGAGTCCCTTTTAAATTTCTAAACACCTTGAATACCTTTGGTTCTAGAGAAAGGGGAGAAATCCATCAAAGATTTGACATATACAAGTTTTCAGAGAATACTCCCCTCGGATACTGCTATTTATTTTGTAACTTTTAAAACGTCATTAAAAAATATTAAATTGGCGTTTTGCGTATACTTTTAATTTAATTTTATATTTACAATTAAATCATAATAAAATATATAAATATTTATCACAGTTCGTAATATTTCCGGCACTGTATTTGGTTACTGGTTTCACATTTATTTTACTTTCCCTGCAGTTCCTTTTCCCGTTTTATGATTTCCTCTACTCCTCGCCTCATTTCTTGGATAGCCTCGATTTCACTAAGTCCCAGACGGCGCTTGTTAGAAATATCATACACACCTCCCACACTCTCTGTGTGCTCGCCGTGAATACCTGACCAAATAAAAAGAAAGCTTGGAATTTAATACAGGTTTGATAATTAGTATCGGGAATTATTTTGCTGAAGAATAATCGATTTTGATCAATAATGAAATGTTCGCATAATACTGTATCCTGGCTCTGCTAAAAATCTTGAAATTTCATTGAAGAATACGAAAAAAACCCACATCGGTAAGACTTCATATGTCAAACCGGCGTGCGCCGAATGCGCCGCTTGACTTTTTGGTAACCCGGTTTGTTACTTCATTTGACCGCAAAAGGTTCGCCGGCGTACGGTTTGAAATGACCGGCGAGGAATTCGCCTGTTTTAGAGATATGGCGGGAAGATATAACAAGTTGTTTCATTAAAATGCAGCTACTTTTAAGCAAAACAGCATGTTATTTAATTTTTTGCATTTCTCAAACAAATCTTCATTCATATATTTAAAATCTGTCATTGTTTTGTAACAGTGAAATTCTTCATGACTTCCATGATTTCTCTTTTACATTGAATTCCGAATTATTCAACTTTTTTTTCCCGCTAAGACACAATACAACAAGTGATAGATCTACATTAAGTGATCATTTTGGAGTATAATTAATTTTTGTTGTCTACCCTTGATATCATAAAAATCTTAAAATTTCATTTGTCGAGGGTCTCGAGACGAATACTGCCCGTGTAAAACCATTCTCCCTAAAAATGTTTACATAACTAACAAAGAACTCTCTTAACAAATTTTAGATCTATATTTCCTTAAAAATAAATTTATATGGTGCACTTATTTAGTTGTACTTTGTCATGATCTTAAAGATAAATTAATTTCCTTGAATAATTATATTAAATCTGGGGCCCATTTTACAAAAGAACTTATGACTAAGAACAAAATTTAATTCTGTTCAAAACTTTTTAATTTACATTATATTGAAAATAGTCATCTTTTTAAAAGAAATGAAGTAAGATATTTTACGCTAGCAATTTTAAACAGAATCATTAATTTTGCAAAATTTTACAATTAATTTAAGTTTTTGGTCTTAGTCGTAAGTTCTTTTGTAAAACGGGCCACAGGAGCTTAAAAAAAAATCTTACCAACATTGTAACTTGTAAAAAATATGTCTCAAAATATTTTAACACTAGTAAGTCATGATGGTACATGTACATGTATATGTATATGCGGGTAATTTTTCAGTCTTGTTTACTATTACCTCTTGGCTGTAGATTCAGTTTCTCGCAGAAGGCCTTGAAGTCAGGTTGGGCAGCCAGTTTTGGGATTTTGATGTGGACGCTGGATCTGCAGGTGGTTCCCAGATTGGTGGGACAGAATGTGAGGTAGCCAAGGTTATCATGATGGGCAAAGGTCAACTTCTTCTCCATTTCCTTGATAGCCTGGAAAACGATGACAAAATTTAAAAACAATATGTTAACACTATACGAGATATTTTATTGACCAATGAAGGGCCCTGGAAAGCACTGTAACACATAAAAGTACAAATTAAGAGCCATTCTCTGTAACGACTTGAACTTTTATATAGGAGCTGTGGCACGCATAGTCTCAGAATTTCTCCAAACTCTCTATGATAAAAGTCTTTGATACCGTAAACTCAAATCAGGCAGAAATTGGTTGCTACGTGTGATGGTTACCATGGCAACATGTCATAAAGTTTGAAAAATGGCATTTTTCAACATGTTCAGAGTCCCACAATTGACGTTTGCAGCAAAGCAAACAAGTTGCAATGACTGTTTCTGAAAGTTAAAGGCCTGTTGTCTTAAATGCATGATAAACATGTTTGGTAATTCAACTATTACATACGTTACTATGGAAACAAAGTATTCAAAAGTAATAATATTGCTCATTTAATTTTGTAAAATCATACACTTAAGAATAAAAAAAAAATTATAGGTTAAAATGCAAGCAAATAATAGACAAAAGACCCTTATAACATATACCAAGGAAGAAATATGATATTTCTTATAGGTTGGCAATGGTTGCCATGGTTTAAATACCAAGAAGGGATTTTAAATTTTCTCTCTTAGTGTTTAAATCTAATCCTATCTTTTTAAAAAGCGTATTTCTATAAAAGTAATGATCAATTTTTAAAGATGTTCATGTGACCCTAATTTTCACATTTCAAAAAATTCAAATTCAATTCTTTAAATAGAGCGTTGCTATGGAAATAAGCCGAAAAAATATGCATAAAAATCTGAAAAATATTCTGTTTCCTTGGATACATACCCTTGTATGTAGATTCCCAAAACTTTTATGATTGATAATTGTGAACAACTAACCTGACTTTCAATTTTGACTGCCACCCAGTCTCTAACTGGATGCAAAAAACTGGCACATAGGGTTTAATATTGATATAAAATGAACAAAATCGAACATTTTTCCTTCTTGGTTACCATAGCAACAGTGTTGTATTTTTCAACAAATGTTATCAATATATGATATTCAACTTTAGTTCTACCAGATAAGTACTATTCAAGGTGAGTCAAATAATATCTCTCTTGAATAAAAGATAAGTAAATTCCTAAGGCAGCAAAAAAATATCACTTTAAACAACTGCTACATTGTTTCCATGGTTACACTGCAAAGTAACAATTAATCCCAATTTTTCTTATGTTGTCGTTGTTGCAAGGTGCTAAGGATGTATATGTGCCAGTCATGAATTTTATTGTTTTTCCTGAAGATAGTAGCATTAACCCAATCTTAGCAACATATCTTGCATGGTAACACTGTGTTACCATGGCAACCATGAAAGTTATTTTTAGAATAATATTGCCAATACCTAATTACATAAGGTCAAATATTTTTATTGTTTTTTCTTAGGTTGTTGATTGAGTTTGATTATTTAACACCTATCATTAGTGAATATTGAGCGTTTTTCTGCATTTTTAACCATCTAAATTGTATTCCAAATGTACCCATGGTTACCACTTACTTAGAGATAAATTCTAAATAGTTTCTTTATAGCATAAGTGGCAACAAGGTGTCAGGTTTTTATGAGAATGGTTTGTTTGTTTTTCTCTGTCTTTATTAAGGCTTAATAAAGATTCAAAGTAGCTGAAAATATCAATTTTTCCAACTTTTCTGGCTGTTACCATGGCAACCAAGACACATAGCAACGAAATTTTATTTGATATATGTTTCTGGTGGCAAGTTGTAATAATGGGCAAAGTTTCATCAAAATCGGTGACCATGTGTGGCAAAGAAGTTTAAGTGGTTACAGAGAATCGCTATTAAATATCATCTTTATATTAGTCTTATACAATATTACAGTTGAACTTCGGAATTTCGAACACCGATATCTCGAATACCATTGATATGTCGAAGTGATTTCGAAGTCCCAACCACATATATCTACAGTATTTTACCCTTGACATCTCGAATTCTCGGATATCTCGAAGTTTTTCTCGATCCCATCAAGTTCAAGATAATGAAGTTTGACTGTATTCTTTTCACACTGGATGAAAAGGCTAGGTTTTTTTCGGGTTCCTATCGAGTCCGAGATAAGGGGGTTTGATGTACTTGTACAGCTTACACGGGTTGTAAGCTATTTGGGGGGGGGGGGGTAAAATTTTATTTTAATTATTTTTATTTTTAATGCATGTGTGATGTACAGTTCCTACAAAGGCATGTGCATGTAATTTTCTTATAAATACTATTTGATTTCTTATCTTGTATTTTGACTAATTTATTATTGACTGTAAATTAGATGCCGATTACGTATTAATTTACTTGTCGACTTATGCATGTAAATTATTATATCTAAAAGAAACATCATTTAAATTATGATGGTTTAATACGTGTATTAACTATTTAATACGTAGATATTTAGTAAGTCTAACTTACTGTGATGAGCCTTTTGTAGACGGCAGCCAGGTCCCCGCCCTTCTGCATAGAAATCAGGCGGAGATGGTCCTCCTCGTTCACCCAGCATAGGAAGGTTTTGTTGTCATTGAAGAAGATTCCTCTGCCTATAGGCCAATCGTTGTATCCGCCAGCATCCTGTAGGAACCTGTAAAAACAGAAAAGTCAAATGATTAAATACCACTTCACCGTATTTATTTCTGTAATCCATCTTGCAAGCTGGGAAAAAAAATTGCAAAAGGGGATTTGTCTTGCCGCCTTTACTTGCCAGTGACTTTTAATGGCATAACTGCAAGGTCTAGAATAATTTTCGAAAATAGGTCCACTGGGCATAGCATGAAAAACAGCAACCCCTTTTAGCAAAGACTTAAGGTGTCCATTATTTAAGTGTTAGAGCTGCAAATACTAGGGAATAAAAATTTCACGTAGCAGCCCCCCCCCCCTTTCAAATCTCAGCGACCGAAGAAAGGCAGACACTTTACCTGTCATCGTTTTTGAACATGAAGTGGTCATCGATGAGTTGTTGGTTTTCCTCAGGGGTCATTGTTTCTAGGGAGTAGTATTTCCCCTTCAGTTCCCCATCCAGAGTTTTCAGAGCGTCCACAGAAATCTTCTCCATCTCCTTACGTTGCTGAAAAAAAAAGACATTCTGAATCCAGGAATATTTCTCAACAAGTCCACAGAAGTTTATGACATAACACCGATGGTACAAGACTGAGACCAAATCTCCTGTGCGAATAATTGGGGGGGAAGGGGGGGGGGAGGGGGGAGTGAGGGTTAAAATTGAAATATTCACAAACTGTATTCACGTTTTAAAGGAGACCTAACTTTGTTAAACTATACTTTACTTCTAAATTGTATATTTTGTGTTAATGACAGGTCTTTACTTTTTTTTGTAAGTCGGATTAAGTCGATCTAAGTTTAAGGCATGTGGTGTTAATAGCCCACCTCAGCATTGACGACAGGAGGAAATCCAAAACTGGCGTGACTGCGCCCGACCCTGACACGGGTGGACACGATGTACTCTCCGGAGGGATCAAGGTCACCAAAGCCAAGGTTGTTCAGATCGCCGAAGTCTGGCTTTGGGTGTTTGACCTCACTGACTTTGTGGTAGTCCTTAATAACGGGGAAGAGAACCTCCTTAAACACATCGTAACCCTCTGGGTCACTGGCGTAAATTCCACAGCCGCTGTCCAAGTTCTTACAGCCTGTCAATAAAGGGCATGTTAAAGCCTGTAAATTAACGACATATTACACCCTGTAAACAAACGACGTATTGCAGCCTGTAAACTAACGACATAATTACAGCCTGTAAACAAACGACATATTACAGATTGTTATAAATAAGCAAGGCATATGTTTATATATAATTTGCATTGGGTATAAGAGGATAAAAAAATATAATGCGTACACTTATCATCAGCACGAAATACTATTAAGAGTCTACAGCATAAGCTGATGGTAAAAAAAATTTAATGAAAAATAGTTGGAAGATTTCATAATTAATAGACGATCTTTTCATCCGTTAAAGGCTTTAATAACGAAAAGCTATCTCCATCAAGAAACACCTTAGGTAAACCATTTAGCATACAAATGACAATTATGACAATATTTTAATAAATTGCTAAGAACTGCATATGCATATAAAAGAGTCATCTCCCTTTATGCAGTATTCACTATTGTGTATATACTGTAATAAATGATTTTATGATATTTTCAATATTGTTGTTATATATATTTCAGAGTAGACTGTAAAATTAACAAGTCAACGTACGAACCCTAACAAGAGTTTGCGGGGTTTTTTTTTGGTTTTTGTTTTTGTTTTTTTTGTTTTGTTTTTTTTTGTTTTGTTTTTTTGTTGTTGTTGTTGTTTTTAAATACTAAAACAGTAGAAACAACTCTGATCTCTGATTTATGTACATTTTTTACAAATCAAAAATTAAAATCACAAAGTTCTAGCCTATAAAGACAACAAACCGCATGTATTTCTCTATTTTTTTTTTTGGAGGGGGGGGGGGAATAAGTTATAATAACGTTAATAAATAGATGTAGTTCTTCCCATTTAAAGCCCAAATTTTGTCTTCATGAACTCGAATCAGAAATTTAGAGTTTCACATATTTTATCACAAAATACGGACCTGACAAGGCTATTTACGGGACTTTTTTTAAAAAGTTATTTAAACCTTGTAAATATATTCTCATAGTAATAGTGAAATTTTGTTCACGATATTTTAACATAAAACTTTTCATATATATCCTGCACAATATTGCTGTTGTGTTGAACTAAAATATATTAGGCTGAAAAGCTCAATCAAAATTTAATTTTAAAAAAACTTTAGGAAAAGTTGCAAGAGTTTTTTTTTTCTTTTTTTTTTTTAACTTTAAATCATTTTTCATAATATGACTTTTAAGTAAATACTTACTGCTTAAAATGAAAACTTGATAACGTACCCGATTGTATACAATGGAGAAGTGTTCCACCAAACTTTGTTTTCTTGTCTTTGAGCTGCTCGTAAATCTCTGGAGTCAAATGCTTCTTCAACAGAGATTTGCAGTCGGTTGCATTTTTCAGTTTGTTCCACAGTTCTTCAAGGGACATCTTGGAAGTTGTTATGAATTTGGGGTGATCAGCAAAAACGAACCAAACAACAAAAACAGCAACGAACAAATGACATTTGTTGACGTGTGTCGTTAAGATACGATTTCGTGACGTCATCATAATGAAACGTCACAGTGGGGGATGTTGCAGTGAATATTTCCCTGATAATGGATTCATCTGATTGATGCTCCACTCCATTTAACCCCATTCGAAACATTTGCATACCATAGTCATACTATCACACAGAATGCGTTAATTGTTTTTGTTTTCTTTTAATTTTGTTTGAGATGTGTAATTGGAATAACTGTTACTTGATCAAGCAGCAAAAGTAATTGCAAATATAAAGTCCGTCATTTACGCTCTATATTTGGATTATTTCTAATCGGGATGTTTCTGACATTATGAACAATAATCCGTAAGATTATCAGATAACAGGATTACCATTATATAAATAGTTGTGGCATCGTTAACGTTTAGGTTATAACAATTTCATGATAATAGAACGTGACCCGGTGTATATATTCAAACACGCAAAATCCAGGGGAGTAGATTGTGGAAACAGGCACCTGACGAATGGTTGGTGTAACCCCCCCCCCCTTTCCTACTGAGTTTTTTTTTTAGACAAGATAACTTACAAAATATACATGAATTTCTAGTCTATCGTATCAATACTTCGATATTTGATATCATTTTCTGTTTTTTTTTTTTTTTTGTCAAGTTTTAGAGTTTGGAGATTGTCCCTTTACGGTATATAAAAATACTAGAATTTTAAATACTGTAAAGGGACAATCTCTCAAACTTGGGGAACACCAACCATTTGACAGGCGCCTCAGTGTGGTTGTGGAAGCAAATACGGGCAAGAGGTCAAATCGGGGCCCCGAGTCTAGTGATTTTTTACCATTTCTGGCAAAAATTGCACCCCCCCCAAAAAAAAATATTTAAAAATAATCGAACTGAGACATCGTGGAAAGGAGGGGCTATAGAACTTCTCACTTTCATATCAATTTCATTTTCGGCAGAAATTTCTTTCTGTCTAATTTCGAGGGCTGAATCACATTGTAACAAAAGGGGGGGGGGGGGGAGAGAGAGAGAGAAAGCTAATTTTAAAATGAATTTCAAAAATTTGAATAAATCCGACAAACTATCAGTGCAATAAAATACCCTTCGAAGATTACTGGGGATAATCTGTGGGAGCGGATATAAGGGTTTTAAGAAAAATGTGCACGAATCTGGGGTAAGTTTTCTTTTATCATGTCTTCTTCATTAAGGGCCCAGACTCTATATATCCCATCCTTTTGCCCCGTCCTCCGGGTGGACAAATAAAAAAGGTGATATAATCACACATCATCTAGGGTTTACATGTTAAGGATATGTGAACTTTGTGCTTGTCAGTATTAATAGTATTTATAACATAACAGGAACACCCAATTTTGATCATTTCCCTAAAACTATAATAACATTTTTTCTACATTTGTTAATTCTTGCTTCACTTTATTAACGATGGGAAAAGGCTGCCCCCCCCTCCCAGTTTGCCTTGTCAGCAATACCGAATCATTTTCATGTAAACAGTACCCCCCCCCCCCCCCCCCCACACACACACACACACAGACACATCAAAAAGGTAAAGAAGTATATTTTTTCGTTTCGTTTTTTTTTGTTGTTTTTTGTTTTGCAACAGTTAATCATATGCTTTAGAAAAAAGTAAACCTCTAAATCCCTTGAATACTCCAGTATTTTCCATACAATACATGGAAACGTCACTATAAATAATATAAGAAATGAAAAAAAGAATTTATAGCAAATTTAAAAAGTAATAAAAATGTTAAGTCATGCTGTTTCACCCTATATTTCAGCAAACTTTAATTACATGTATTAGAAAAATGAAATACTGCTTAAATTATTCTATAATCAGTAGGTACATGCGTACTTTTCAAATAGTGTAGTACATGTAGCCTGTTATGTATATGCCTTAATTTCGTTCCTTGTATAAACCGCACTCTCACGTATACATGTAAGATTAAAATGCCTCCAAAAGTTGCGAGATCTGTGGTATATTCACTGGTTTCGCCAAGTACTTTTCGTTAGTCCATGCTAAATACCCTCAAAGTCAACTACGTATTTTGTTTTAATTTGAATTATATAGAATGATTTAAGCTTACTGAGACTGAAAGTTTCAGATTTAAGCTTCTATATAAATTCTTCCTGTTGCAATAGACATGATGGATTTTTATGAAATCAGGAATTTATCGAACTTGGAAACGAAACCTTACACTGGAGATTGCTAATCCAAATAAATTGATACCAACTAGTGTCAAATACTATTAGTAATATTCAACAGTTTCTAATGCTTAGGTCATGTGTTCCATCCGCATAAAGCCAAAAGTTATTTTTCAGTTTTGTTCACTTGTGCACGTCTGAAACTCCCCATGTTTTATACACGTTTTTTGATGTAAAATCTGCAATCTCAAAGCAACATCAGGCTATGTATAAAGCATCCAGTATCTATTTTCTTTTAAGTAACACAGATAAGAGATGTCACATGTTCAGAAGTGGTAAACAATTTATTAATGTCTCTATATTAATTAACAACAGTATGGAATAGGAAAAAAATTTTCACACACAACAAAATCTGGGTGTCGTCATCACAACAGGCCTCCCGGGGGGAAAAAGTTCCTAACAGTAAATACTTTCTGTAAAATATCACAGCTAAAGATAAACTTAGCAAAGCCAATCCACTAGTTACACAACTAGAGATCTACAGTTAAACAAATATAAAGCAAACGGTTTGGCACCTGGAATAAAAACGATCAGATGATCTTTTCCTTTACTAAACAAGCAAACAAGTCAAGATTTAATGTATAAATACAAGTCTTACAAAAAAAAAAATCAAATGTTAAGACACAAAATAATTTAAACAAGATCCACAACCAAATTATAATAAACCTTTTTTTCTGACAAGAGTAAAAAAAAATGCCTCTAATTCTCTGAGTTGGTTTTCAAAAAAAAAATTAACTGGATAACTTCTAGTACATCTGCACCAATAATAAAGTCTGTCACAAGAAAGAAAAAGCCAACGCAGCCCGAATTCTGGGAGGCTGTTTGCGAGACTTGCACCCTGACATAGTTTTGGTCACACGGAGGGATATGTTTATAGATGGCGCTTATTTAGCATTCTTCTCAGCCTCGATGATCTGCTTGATTCCGTTGTACATTTCCTGCATGGCCTGGTATTCAGTGAGACCCAAGCGACGTTTGTTTGAAATGTCGTAAACTCCTCCTACACTTTCTGTGTGTTCACCATGGATACCTGGAGAGAAAAAAAAAATTGTGATTTTTTTTCTGAAAAAATCTCATATTTTGAAGTTGACAGAAAAAAAGAACAAGACTCTGTGCTTTGGAATTGATACATACAACTACAGATTTATAGATCTGCTGTGTATCCCTTATCAAGAAATGTACAACCTCATTTCAAAAAATTGTACAAATGATAAATATAACGTTTCCCCATGAAATTTTTTTCTTCACAGTATGTATCCATCAAAAAATGTCTAAAAAATATTGAAAGAGTTCCACAGCCAGAATTTTTTCTAACCCATTCTTTTTGAATTGGAGAAGGGGGTTGGCTGGATGAAAACAAGGACGCATTGACGGTTTACCTCTGGGCTGGAGTTTATTGTCTTCACAGATCTTTTTGAGGACCTCCTCATTCTTTGCAAGTTTAGGGACCTTGATGTGGACACTAGCACGCAGTGTTGTTCCTAAGTTGGTTGGACAGAAGGTCAAATAACCATGTCTGTCACTGTAGGCGAACTTCAGGTTCTTCTCAAGTGCTTTAATGGCCTGTCAATGACAAGAAAAAAAAAATAAATAAGATACCAAATTATACAGAAAATCAACATGGCTTGACACACTCAAACACAAACTGACACATTGTCATTCCCAAAATAATTCTCAAAATTCAAGTTCAGGTTGCCAAACAATAAATCTACTTCAAATAAAAGCTGACACTTGTAACTGCAGATTGCAAGCTATTTTCAGCACTTTAGAGGGTCCAGGGGAAGTGTTAAGCCCCAATTCTAAACAATCATTTGTGCAACATGCACATAGTTACTTCCCTTAATGGCACAGTTACTTCCCTTGATGGCCCTGGAGTTGAATTGGTAACAAGCCTTACTCAAGACTAATATAATTCTTTAAAAATTGTAAATTAATCAAGAAAGTTCCCTGCTTTATATATATTTCTATTAAGCATGAAAAGAACTGATCGGTTTACTCATTAACTACTACAGGTGAATGAAATGAAATGAGTTTGTCATATCTTTAAAAACGTGATTACACAAATCCTTCTCTTGGAATGTGATAGAGTAAACGTTATAATGGTTGTCTGCCTTACCGATACTAGACGTCTGTACACTTCTCCCACATCACCGCCCTTCTGCATGGAGATGAATCTGAGATGGTCCTCCTCATTAATCCAGACGAGGAAGGTTTTCTTCTCGTTGAAGAAGATACCTCTGGCTACGGGCCAGCCGTTGTATCCACCAGCATCACCCAACATCCTAGCAATGACAAAAAACAACTTAACTTACACCCAACATCCTACCAACGACAAAAAAAAACCGAACTTAACTTAAAACCAGCATCCTAGCAAGGAAAAACAAGAGGCCCAAGGGCCACATCGCTCACCTGAGTAACTTTGGCCATGCTGTTCTTTACCAGATTTCCCCCTTGTAATACCTATTGTGGCCCCACCCTACCCCTGGGGGGTCATGATTTGAAAAATTTAGAATTTACGCTACCCCAGGATGCTTCCACATAAGTTTCAGCTTTTCTGGCCCAGTGGTTCTTGAGAAGAAGATTTTTATAGATTTTTCCAATATATTTCTATGTGAAACTTGGATTCCCTATTGTGGCCCCGCCCTACCCCCGGGGGTCATGATTTTGAGAATTTAGAATCTACACTATCCCAGGATGTTTTCACATAAGTTTCAGTTTTTTTTTGGCCCAGTGGTTCTTGAGAAGAGGATTTTTAAATGACCCCACCCTATTTTTGTCTTTTCTTGATTATCTCCCCTTGTTATTTTAACAATTTAAACTCCCTTTCATCCAAGGATACTTTGTACCAAGTTTGGTTAAAATTGGCCCCATGGTTCTTGAGAAGAAGTTGAAAATGTGAAAAGTTAACAGATGGACGGACGGCGGACAACGGGTGATCAGAAAAGCTCACTTGAGCTTTCAGCTCAGGTGAGCTAAAATGACTTAACTTACATCCAACATCCTAGCAAGGACAAAAAAATAACTTACACCCAACATCCTAGCAATGACAAAACAACGACTTAACTTACACCCAATATCCTAACAACAAAAAAACAACTTACACTCAACATCCTAGCAATGACAAAAACGACTTAACTTACACCCAACATCCTAGCAATGACAAAAAACGACTTAACTTACACCCAACATCCTACCAACGACAAAAAAACTACTTAATTTACACCCAACATCCTACCAATGACAAAAAACGACTTAACTTACACCCAACATCCTAACAACAACAAAAAACAACTTAACTTACACCCAACATCCTAACATTGACAAAACAACGACAACATTACTTACACCCAACACAGGGTTGTCCCTAAGACCCAGGGGCTCGGGAATTTCTCCGCCTATAATGACGTTATCCGCCGGTTACTCTGGTATTCCCCCTCAACCCCATGTTAGGGGAGGATCCCCAGACCCATAGGCCTTCTACTTTTTTAATGTCCCCTTCTATTTCAACTCTTAGGGACAACCCTGCAACATCCTAGCAACAACACAAAACATTAAACTACAAACTATAAAAGTTGCAAAGTGGCACTATGTAATAGGATTCTGTAAAAGTCTCTTTACATTTTTATTCAGTGGTATAGGAGATGGTATTGGAGAAGATGCAGATAAAAATAACTAATCCAAAGATCCTCCATCACTGTCTCTATACACCCATATTTGAAAGGGGGGGTCATATTTAATTTAATTGTAAATTGTTCAAATCTTCATTTATAAAATGTCACAGTGTCATTTACTGAATATAAAATTGTACAAGAGGCCGAAGGGCCTTAACGGTCACCTGAGTATAATATAACAATTGAGAGGATCATGGATTATAAAATCAACTGATAGATGAAGCTTTGTTGCCCAAAAGCAAGAGAAGTAGGAAGATCAGGATCAACAAAATAATTGGTCTAATATTCAGTAACAACTCATAAATTAAGTTCTAATCTGTCCCCCTCTTATCACTATCACCATGTAGACTATTAACAAACTATTAGTGCTTCTGCACCATCTTAAATGCCATAATATAACCTCTCACATTGACCTGTCTTGGTCTTTGAAGAACATTTGTCTCATTTTTATTTATCTATTATTTACAGGTCTATCTGATCATTAAAACTAAGAAAGTACTTTTTGTATTATAAAATAAAAATTCTAGCATAATTCTCTTATTCTATTAACCTTTCAAATACATTATTACAGTGATTAATCATCAAAGGTGAATGGAAAAGGGGAGTAACTTCTCTCAGTAGAATACAAATTAATAGAGCCCTGCTCAGGACCTGATTGCTTGACCAAATTAAAATCTGGTAAAAATACCCTTGCTTATTAAAACTTTTACTCAGTTTGCCTCTGATATGCCCAGAAGCAGAGATGAATTTCACATGTATAATGCATTTTCACTACAGATTCAACACAGCCCTACCCTAACACCAGAACCAATGACCCAGGGTCAAGAAATTTACAAATCTGGAAGAGTTACCCTCAGCATCATAACTATGCAGTTCAAAGAATTAACACATTTCCACTATATTATCAATACCCCCCCCCCCCCCCCCCCCCCCCCCGTAATGCCAGAACCCCTGACCCTGGGATGGGACCACAAGTTTTAAATTTTCTGTTAGAAGCACCCTTATTCATCATAACTATGCAATTTGTTTATCTGCTCAACACTAAGGAGGAGACAGGATTAATTAATAGAATTAATGCATTTTCATTATGTTATCAATAGAGCCCCACCCTTACACAAGAACATCTGACACAGGGGCAATAAAACTCAAAATTCTGAATGAAGCACTCTTGCTCATCATAGCTATACACTTAGTTTCTTTGCTTTATAACCAGAAGCAGAAAAGAACATTTTCAAAGATATTATGCTTTTTCACTATAATATCAATAGAGTCCTCCCCCCACTTTTCCACCAGAACCCCTGACCCTGGGACAATATATTTCATAATTTTGGAAGAGGCATCCTTGCCTATCATAATCATGCACTTAGTTTGTTAAAATAATCTCCAGGGGCAGAGAAGAAGATTTTCAAAGTATTAATGCATTTTCACTATATAATCAATAGAGCCTTGCCCTTACTACAGAACCTCTGACCCAGGGGCCATGAAATTCACAATTTTGGAAGAGACACACTTGCTCATCATAACTATGCATTTAGTTTGTTTCCTGAATACCCAGGAGCAGAGAAGAAGATTTTTTCAGGAATAATGCATTTTCACTATATAGTCAACAGAGCCCCGCCCTAGCACCAGAACCCCTGACCCTGGGGCCATGAATTTCACAATTTAAGTAGAGGGCTCAGTGCTTATTACAATCATGCCAACAGTTTGACTGCTTGATGTCCAGGAGTAAAGAAGATTTTTAAAGATTGCATTAATTTTGATGGTTTTGGCCCCACCCCTCAGGCCCCAAAAGGGGGTAGGGGCCACAAATTTCATGATTTTTGTTCCCCTTAAGCCATAGATGCTATATGCCAAAATTGGTTGAAATTGGTTCACTAGTTCCAGAGAAGAAGCTGAAAATGTTCAAAAGTTTACGACCGACGAACGATGACGGACGAAAAGAGATAGCAATAGGTCACCTGAGTGACTCAGGTGACCTAAAAATACATAGCAAAATAAACAAGAGGCCCATGGGCCACATCGCTCACCTGAGTAACTTTGGCCATGCTGTTCATTACCAGACTCCCCCCTTGTAATACCTATTGTGGCCCCACCCTCCCCCCAGGGGCCATGATTTGAACAATTTAGAATCTACACTACCCCAGGATGCTTCCACATAAGTTTCAGTTTTTCTGGTCCAGTGGTTCTTGAGAAGATTTTTAAAGATTTTTCCTATATATTTCAATGTAAAACTTGGGATTCCCCCTATTGTGGCCCCGCCCTATCCCCTGGGTCATGATTTGAACAATTTAGAATCTACACTACCCCAGGATGCTTCCACATAAGTTTCAGCTTTTCTGGCCCAGTGGTTCTTGAGAAGAAGTTTTTTAAAGATTTTTCCTATATATTTCAATGTAAAACTTGTATTTCCTATTGTGGCCCCGCCCTACCCCCAGGGGTCATGATTTGAACAATTTAGAATCTACACTACCCCAGGATGCTTCCACATAAGTTTCAGCTTTTCTGGTCCAGTGATTCTTGAGAAGAAGATTTTTAAAGATTTTTCCTATATATTTCAATGTAAAACTTGGATTCCCTATTGTGGCCCCACCCTACCCCCGGGGGTCATGATTTGAACAATTTAGAATCTACACTACCCCAGGATGCTTCCACATAAGTTTCAGCTTTTCTGGTCCAGTGGTTCTTGAGAAGAAGATTTTTAAAGATTTTTCCTATATATTTCAATGTAAAACTTGGATTCCCTATTGTGGCCCCGCCCTACCCTCGGTGGTCATGATTTGAATAATTTAGAATCTACACTACCCCAGGATGCTTCCACATAAGTTTCAGCCTTTCTGGTCCAGTGGTTCTTGAGAAGAAGATTTTTAAAGATTTTTCCTATATATTTCAATGTAAAACTTGGATTCCCTATTGTGGCCCCGCCCTACCCCCGGGGGTCATGATTTGAACAATTTAGAATCCACACTACCCCAGGATGCTTCCACCAGGGGTAGACAAATAGAATTTTTCAGTACTTGCCATCGGACAGGTTACCATCGTAAAATTACTTGTCCTACCAAAAAATATGCTTGTCCCACCTTTATTTAATTAACACTAAATTAAAGCATTATCCTTAAATTTAAATATGTCTCAATTGATACACTTCATAGGGACCAAACTAGACCCAAAATTACTTAATTCTTCCACGGAAAATTTTAGGGGTAAATCTTGTTCCAAGGAGATTTCCTAGCTTTTGAAGTGCACATATCTAATAATTATATACATGTATATAATTTAAACATTTCTCTGTATTACCTTTAACATCCCCAAAATATTCAAAGAGAAAAAAAAAATGACGACGTCAAATCATTTGATGATTTCCAATTGCAAAGCATATGAATATCAAGCATTAGAATTAATGTGCACATTGTCAACTTACAATTTCTAAACTGTAAAAGTAGTAAAATGTTACATTTAATATTCAGATTTCTTTCCATATTTTCAGGGTATTAGTAAAGTCAAAGTTTCATTCTATTTTCTTCAAAATTCTTTGATGAGGTATTCCCTATTTTTTTTTATGTAAAAATAATGTGTATTCATATAACTGAAAGCAAAAAATATTATACAGTATTTGATTATGAAAACCACCACTGCATGCCGATCGGAACTTTCTGTGATCGCCAGTCAACGGCTCCAATTTTAATATCAGTATAAAATGTTTGTATTCACGGCATGAATTTTACATTTTGACAATACCTATAAAGGTCTAAAATCCTCTTCAACTTTTTTGACATGGAATCGATAGCTGCTATGTTTTACGTCTTGTGTATATTTTAACTATACACATGAATGTTGAAATTCTTGAGTAGTTCCGACCGAGTATTCGATGTTGTGGTCAACAGCAGCGAAAATAGGTGCTCTACTGTGATTCATTACATTTCAACAGCGGTAAAAAAAACAACATTTGATTTTTTTTTGTTAACTGGAGAAGCACTTGTCCGTGGGCAGGTACCACATAACAAATGACTTGCCCGCCAAACAAAATTGGTTGTCCCAGGCGTCGGGCAATGCTATTTGTCTAGCCCTGTTCCACATAAGTTTCAGCTTTTCTGGCCCAGTGGTTCTTGAGAAGAAGATTTTTAAAGATTTTTCCTATATATTTCTATGTAAAACATTGATTCCACATTGTGGCCCCGCCCTACCCCCGGGGGTCATGATTTGAACAATTTAGAATCTACACTACCCCAGGATGCTTCCATATAAGTTTCAGCTTTACTGGCCCTGTGGTTCTTGAGAAGAAGATTTTTTAATGACCCCACCCTATTTTTGTCTTCTCTTGATTATCTCCCCTTGTGAGGGGACTTGGCCCTTCATTTTAACAATTTAAATTCCCCTTCACCCAAGGATGCTTTGTACCAAGTTTGGTCAAAATTGGCCCAGTGGTTCTTGAGAAGAAGTCAAAAATGTGAAAAGTTTACAGACGGACGGACAGACAGATGGACAGACGGATGACGGACAAAATGGGATCAGAAAAGCTCACTTGAGCCTTCGGCTCAGGTGAGCTAAAAATGCAACCAAATTTTTAATACTACAGTTGAACTTTGGTATCTCGAACACTGATATCTCGAATACCATGGATATGCTGAAGTGATTTGGAAGTCCAAATTACTTATTCTTTAAGAATTTAACCCTCAATATCTCGAATCCTCGGATATCTCGAAGTTTTTTCTTGGTCCCATCAAGTTCGAAATAACGAGATTTCACTGTATATCATGATATAAAACAAGGTCATATTGAAAGCTTCAAAGATCGACTATTTTGGTATATCAGAAAAAGGTGAGTGAAAACTTAGACAATCTAACAGTGCTCTATAACAAGATTGTGAAAGTTAACATGGAAACTGACAACTTTTAGTCATTGGTCAATATTTCCACACAGTCAAAGTTTCAACTTTTACAGTACATCCAGGATTGTACTCACCTGTCATCGTTTTTGAACATGAAGTGGTCGTCGATGAGCTGTTGGTTTTCCTCAGGGGTCATGGATTCTAGAGAGTAGTATTTCCCCTTTAGGTCTCCCGTCAGTGTACCAAGAGCTTCCTTGGTCTTCTTTTCCATTTCTACGCGTTGCTGCAAAAAAAAATCCCGAACAAAATTACTGGCACTGTACTTTTTGTGAGATTGTGTAATGCAGAAACAAAACTGTGGAGTATTTTAAACTACTGTAATTAACATTTCATCTTTAATTCATAAAAATAATTGAAACAAAACGATGGTCGCACAATCAAATAAAATTCCTGTTGCTGACTAAAATATTCATGAATTAATGTTCTTCTAAAACAGAGGAGCTTTTTTTTTACTGGTATGGATTTATGAAAACTAGAAATATGTCCATAGGACATGAATGCCCCGCCAAGGGTATATTAGTAATGCAACATGAAAATTTGTATTAGTGTATGAAATTTGATCATAATATCTTGAATAGTTTTTTTAAAATTGAAATTGAAATCTAAAAAGTTGGATATAGATGATAAATTCTCACCAAATTAAGTGTAAGTGCATAAGCTTACATAAATATATCTTAAATGATTTCTTTAAAATTAAGCAAAATGCAAATTTAAGAAAAGTGAGGTCAGGGTCACAGGAAAGTTCAAGGTCAAACGTTTTTGATGCAGTTGAATAGTTCTCACAAATATGTATCAGCATATTAAGTTTGATAAAAATATTTTGAATGGTTTATTTAAAACTGAGCTAAACACTAATTTTAAATAAATGAAGTTAAGGTCAAAGAAAACGTCAAGGTCAGAAAATGTTAATGCAGTTAAAAATGTTATATAAGTATGTATTAGCATATGAAGTTTGATAAAAAATATTATAAATGGTTTCTTTAAAACCGAGTTCAACACAAATTGAGAAAAGTGAGGTCAAGGTCAAAGGAAAGGTCTAGGTCAAAAAATATTGATGCAGTTGAACAGCTTTCACCAGTATGTATCAGCATATGAAGTTTGACACTAATTTAAGAAAAGTGAGGTCAAGGTCAAAAAAACGTTGAAGCAGTTGAATAGCTCTCATCAGTATGTATCATCATATGAAGTTTGATAACACTATATTGAATGGTTTCTTTAAAGCTGAGCTAAACACTAATTTAAGAAAAGTGAGGTCAAGGTCAAAGGAAAGGTCAAGGTCAAAAAATATTGATGCAGTTGAATAGCTCTCATCAGTATGTATCAGCATATGAAGTTTCAAATGATAAAAATATCTTGAATGATTTCATTAAAACTTAGCTAAAAACTAATTCAAGAAAAGTGAGGTTAAGGTCAAAAAATGTTGATGCAGTTACATAGCTCTCATCAATATCTATCAGCATATGAAGATTGATTACACTATCTTGAATGGTATCTTTAAAACAGAGCTAACACTTATTTAAGAAAAGTGAGGTCAAGGTCAAAGGAAAGGACAAGGTCAAAAAATGTTGATGCAGTTGCATAGCTCTCATTAATATCTATCAGCATATGAAGTTTGATAAAAATATCTTGGATAGTTTCTTTGAAACTGAGTACAAATTGAGACAGACATGACAAACACTATATGCCCCGGGCCATACAAATTGAAGACAAGAGTCTCTCTCCGTTCTTTGGCTTCCAGTAAATAACAATGTGTAGATATTTTCAGATCTACAGGAACCACATTTGACAAGTACAAACCTCATCAGTGGAGACTGGGGGGAAGGGGTATCCATCATGACTCCTGCCCACTCTGACTCTAGTGGACACAATGTATTCTCCAGTGGGGTCCAGGGGGTCAAATCCTAGGTTGTCCTGGGGCCCAAAGTCACATTTAGGATGGGTGACCTTGTCAACCTTGTGGTAATCACAGATAACTGGGTCAAAGAGTTCTTTGAAGGTTTCATAGGCCTCAGGGTCACAAGCATACAAGCCCACCCCTGAGTCTAAGTTTTTGGCTCCTGAAACAAAAGAAATTTTCCAAATACATAAAGATAAGCTACATGATATCCTTTAAATTCTAGCTCAAGTTCTGCATTAAATGATTCTCAAAGTGGAATTTTGCTACCCAATAAGCCCCCACCCCACCCCCATCCCAACCCAGTCTTTCTATTCCCTCTCTATGATAAGGGGTATATGGAGCAAAGTAGAGGCACAAATTTTCCAAAATTCACTTTCTACACTAGCTCTTCAGCTGAACTTCAATATCTCGAAAACATCAATATCTCAAACATCAATATCTCAAATACGGAATATGTCAATGTCATTTGGAAGTTTCAATCCTTTTTTCTCTATGTATTTAACCTTCAATATCTCAAACTCTTGGATATCTCAAAGTTTCTCCTCCGCCCAATCCAGTTTGTGATAATGAGGTTGGACTGTATTTATACCGAGGACACAACAATAGCCCACACATGTATCATAAAATAGACATTATAAATCATCTGTTTTCTACATGTAGACATGTTCCTCAGGACAAACTACCAGGTACACACAATCTTAAATGGGAATCTGGTTATCTACCTGAGAGGTTGGTGTTCACTTCCACAGCAATGAACACTAGCTTGTATTTGTTTGCTTTACCTTTTATGATATAAATTCTTTTAATGACTGGTGAATGTGTTTGGTTTTAGTTCTAGGGGAAAACCAACAACAAATACAGATTGGGAAAATATACCCCCCTCCAAAAAACAAACAAACAAACAAACAAACAAAAACAAAATCCTGGCACTCTTAATATATATATATTTTTTACCAAATACTTTGCTCAACTCTGACCTGATTAAGCAAAGTTCATGTCTCCAGGCTAAAGCTTGGTCACACCTTAACCTGTTTTATACAGATCTAGTCCAAAGACTATTTCTACCTAAGTAACTATCAATAGATACCTAGGACATGTAGGTATTTAATCCTACTAAACATACTAAAAGTAGATACGCCTGTCTTTAAAAATACTAAATGTAGATACTTCTACCTACTTTTACCTGTATTTAAAAATAGAAATAAATAATAATTCAGGTGCATCTTTAAAACAGGTCAAATTTGTTGTTTATCACGTTGAGCACTTGCACGCCAAAATATGGGGTGTAAATTTGTAAACATTAAGAGAGGGGAGAGGAAATCAATGGAGAATCGTCCTGAAAGCTTTTTTCTAAGTAGTAAGGATGCATGAATGTAAGTTTAGAAATTAATACAGATTTTAAAGACATTTCAGGCTTCTTACCACTAAGCTTTGATTCTTTCTAAGCTTCTAGAAAATGGAACTGGATGCAGTTATTGAGTTAGAAAGTAATCTTTTTTTTTTTTGCCAATATTTTTTGTTATCTTCATCGCCATCACGAAATTTGGTATTCACTATATTACGACATTCCTGTGTTTAGTCAAGAAATACATGTAGAGCAAAAAGTAGGTAAAAATAGCTGCCTGGAGTAGGTTTAAAAACCTGGGTAGCTATAAATAGCTACGTTGGTAGATATAGTCTTTGGACTGGACCTATTATACCAAATCAAGACACCTGTTTAAGCTTACTGTCATAATTCTCAAGACTATACTAAATCCCAAGTATTAATCAGTAAACTGCATGTTGGGGGGGGGGGGGGGGGGGTTATGAGAGGTTTGAGGAGGAAAGTTGAGAGAAATTTAACCCCACTGGGTCAAGGCACTTGATGCTAAGAATACATGTAAATAACTACTAATTGTTATGCTTAAGACAGGATAATTCTTGAATGTGTATACCTGTTTATATATTGCTGCACTGCCCAAACCCTCTTACAAGGTGACCTGACCTCGAAACAGGAAGTCTGGCAGGCTGATGGGCTTATTTGTGCAATACTCTTCACTTCCTCAGAAACATTATTATTAATACCACCTGTCAACACAGGTAGCTGCTTAATATATATTCAGCCATTTATTGTCTATTAAGCCAAATGAAGGCAAGTTCACAAATGAAGAGCTGGGGTATTTGTATCCAACAGAAAGATTTTATTAATCATAATTTGTAAATGCAGAGACAGACAAGTTAATCAGCTCTGGATTTTTCTAATACAGAAAAATGCCCCATTTTTACATCTCCCAAGATTTTCCACACATGCAAATTATTTCATAAAGTTCAGTATCATTGCATGGAAATGTGTGAGAATTTCCCATATATATATATATATATATATATATATATATATATATATATATATATATATATATATATATATATATATATACATACATACAGGGACCTATATACTAGTATATAGGTCCCTGATATATATATAGAAAATTCATTCCATCAATGAACTTTCCAAAATATTAAAAAGAAAGATAACTAAGAAAGGATGAGGGAATTCAAAGAACCATGACCTGGACCCCCATCCCCAATAAAAAAAAATTTGAAAGACACCTGTAATTTATCAGAGGTGATCTGTGACTAAATGTTATTTTAAAAACCATTTGATCATTAGAGAAATTTTATTTTTATTTTTTTTATCTTATTTCTTTTTTCATTCATATGCAATCAGAACGGATAGTGTAAACGGATGACCTTGAAATATCATTGATTTATAACATCCGACCGTAGCACGAGCATATCGTTTCCCTCGCGTACCGTTCATTTTATCGTTTTTATGGGAGTTCTTGGAGGCGGATCTTAAAATTAAAAAAAAAAAATTCTCACCTATTTTAATCAGCAAATTTTCGTCTTCGAGCTAGAGAACAGATTTTTTTTTAACTGAACAGATTTTTTTAAAAGTCTGTCCATTGGCTGTGAAATATTGGCTCCATTTCAACCTGTTAAAACCCTGTTCTGAATTGTGACGTCACAATGTTACCGATTCAATATTCGAAGACATATCATCTGGCAAGGTCGAACAGGGCATATGAAAAATCTATTAAACAAACACCTGTACCCGTGTTTAAAGGATACATATATGTCTAAATAACACTAAGGGATCTTAAAATGAATATTCTTTAAAAATAAAACTCTTCAATATCTATCTCAATGATGTTTCATTAATTTTAATTCTCTCATCTGACGAAAAATCACCGGCTACTGACGCCTACCTGAGCGAATGCAGTCCGCTAATGTTCCACCGAGATTAGTTTTTCTCTCCTTCAATTCATTGTACACCTTTTCCGTGAGATATTTTTTAAGAAGTGATTTGCTTGGACCAGCATTAAGTTTCTCCCAGAGTTCCTTTAAATCGGACATTTTTTCTTGTGTGTTGCTTTTTCCACTGGAGCCGGCTGACTGTGAAGCCAAATCGCTACAATATTTCTTGTACATTGCGGTAAGTTTTGTATGATCTCTCCGATTCGTTACCTAGGCAGTGTCCGATTGTAACGTGCGATTTCATTGGCTAATCGAGCCAACGACTACTCCCTTCGTCTCTTTAACACACTTGTCAATGCTGTATGTGTGTGTATTCGATATATTGATGGGAACTAAAACACGTACGAGCCTCGCTTAGACAAATAATATGAGTCAACTAAATTTTTCCCCCCGGTAACATCTAAAGGTCATCTGCGATCACAGTGAAGTTCTGTTTTGAATCGCGAGGATTTTTACCTGAGATTTAACACGTGCATGCATGCAGATGTACATGCATGCGGAAAATCATAAAAGCTTTAGACATTTGTGAAAAAAGACTCTTTTAACTCACCTGAACGAATACAGTCCGCTAGAGTCCCCCCAAGCTTAGTTTTTCTATCCTTCAATACTTTATATATTGTCGGGGTGAGGTGTTTTTTCAGCAGGGATTTACTCTCCCCTTGTAATTTTTTCCACAGTTCTTCGAGTTCCGACAGACCGTGTGGCTGAAACTTTTGCGCCGGTGGCTCGCGTTTATTGAAACTCTCAAGTTGCTCGATATAATGCTTATACATGGTCAACTTTGTGGTGGACAGGAAGGGGAAAAAACCGGAAAAAATTAACTGTTGCTAGGTGTAAAAATCTCTTCCGATCTAATCCTTCGATTATATGTAAAATGAATTCAAAAACACAGTAACGAACGCCGGGCCTTTAACGGTGACGGGCCTATACAAGTTAGCATTGATTTAAAAAGAAATTCATTGATCTTTTTTAAATGTTTGCTGGAAGAAAAAGGTTCAGTCCGCAGTGATTTGGTGTGTATGGTGCTTTAGTCCGTACCAATGTAATCGTCTACCCCGCTAGATATCATATTACATAAATTCAATTATTAAATTTAAATACACTTGTTTAATTTCCCAGTTAATAAGCAGTTTTGTTCTTACTGAATGAATTGCATATTAATTTCTTTCGTTGTTTGGATGATCATGAATCTTCTGAGATTTAACATTTTTTTCCCGGTACACATAATGAATATCATATAGTAGTATTGTATACCAAAATAGTTGAAAAAAAACCCTTTTATACAAAGTATTTTCCTTGATATTGAATTATAAATCAATACAGAAAGCAAAAGTTTTTGTTTCGTTTTGGTTTTTTTTTCCTTTTTTTTTCATTAATTTTTACACAGTGGCTATGATACATTCTGTACTGAATTTGTTAAATAATAACAATAGGGTTCAATACAAAGGCAAAAATCGATCGTGTTTGAATTTTAAGGGGTAAATTAAATATCCCGAAGCACGTTTAAAACGTTAACATAATGCCCCTCAGTGCAGATAAAAATAGTGGAGTCATCAATTTTGCACGAATTCATGATAAATAAAATAATTTGCACCCAAAATACACAAACCTTTCTTACATTCTGCATGTGCTTGTCATTGCCCTAGTGGCCACTAAAGTTTATACTATAACTTTATATATTATAAAGGGGGACAATCTGTTTTAAGCAAGACAGTTGAAGGGCCGGGGAAGGGGGGGGGGGCTGAGGTAAGTTTGATGATTAATCTTTCTCCCTCAAAAGCCGTAGTTTAAGGGAGAGGGGACGAATTATACACTGCGATCAGGCGGATGAACACATGGAGTTTCCCCCCTTTGTTATACAAACCTTTAGTTTATTAACAGAATCCATAAATTACACATAAATTATTTTATGCATGGGTGTTAAGTTACATGTAGCCCCCTCCCCTTTCGATCCGCTCTTTTTTTTCAAATATGCAGAGGACCTCCTCCTTCCTTGAATCCCCCTCCAAAAAAAGTCTGCAAGAAGGAAACATTTTTAAAGACCAAACCTTTTTACCTAAATTATTTGCCTATTCATCCCCTCTCTCAAACTCTCACAAACACGTGTAAAATCTTGTATTTTTCCTTACCTGATCGTATGCAGTCGGCAAGGGTTCCTCCTAGTTTTGTCTTCCGATCCTTCACTAGCTTGTACCGTTCTGGAGTCAGATGCTTTTTCAGCAGGGACTTGCTAGCATTCCTCCTTAGTCGGGTCCAGAGATTGAGTAAATCAGACATTTTTGGACGCGGCGTCTTTTCTGTCCACGACAAAGTGACCTCCAAAGAACACCAGTAGGTAACCTATTCAGTGTGTATATTTGACCAAGTTTAAATATATCGATCGTAGGTCTGGCGAGTTGTTGGATTAAAATCTTTTCAATATATCTCATGTATTGGGTATACATGTACACATGTATATTGTAAAAATGTGTATCGGCCAGTGGCGGATTCAAGGGACGCCCCTCTAAATATTTACCTTTTTTTCACCGATTAAAAAACAAATTCGATTTGTCTTCAACAAGGGATAAAAGGTACATACATAATGTATTTTGAACCAATTTTCGTATGGAATATTAATTACAACTTAGGCCATTCCAAGTTTTTTCTCTGTTAAGTGTCCATCGATAATCTTTGAAATACCAACCTAGTATGTATTCACAAAATCACACAAACCAAGAACTAAAACGCTGATTTCATAAATCTATTTTTATCGATCATAGAAAGATGTATTCTTTAGCAATATCAAGGGATTAAATGCTTAGTATATAGCTAATATGCATATTTTAAACAACTATTGAAAGAAATTGACATAATTCAAAGATATTGACCAAAAGAATCAATTTCAGGACTCTCGATTTTTTAAAAATAATTTGGGGTGTCAAAAACCAATGCGCACGCGGACGCTAAACATACCACCCCCCCCCCCCCCCAAATGGAATGGCCTAGCTTTTTGAGACGGTGTAAGCTTTCCTGATTTTTAAAAACTTCACATTGTTTTGAACATATTTTATTGACAAGCAAAATGATAAGAAACAAGTTCTATCAACTTAACGAGTTCTTCTCCTTAATAAAACACATAATAATTGTCATGCAAAATAATAATAAAAACGTATACAAATAAATGCAAATAGTATATCTATCTAAACCTACACGATTCATTATATATGATTTATGAATCTGTGAACAGCGGCAAAAATACCACTGTTTAACTCTAATGAAAGGTTTTCGTTGCCCCAGAGTAGTAGGTGTACATCTATGATATCTAAATCAAGTCGAAAAAGAAGGTCAAAAAGACTTGTCCTATATATTGTTTTAACTAATTGATGTTTTCTTGTTCACAAAGTAGGGAAATGAATTTCCACATAAAAAATGTCATTCATTAGGAAGCTTTGAAACCTACATGTTACAAAGCTTGTAACAAATTTATTTGAATTAATTTTAATTATATGAATCCGATTCTTTTTTTTTCTACAAAGTCTCTCTCTCTCAAATTTTTCAAACCTCATGTAAAACTTGATCAAGACAAGGAGAAACTACACCTTTACATGATGATGTCACACTGACACAGGTAAATGCCTAAGGACGCTTAATACAGTTGATAACATGGTTTCCGGTTTTTAAGAGCATGAATGGCAGGATAGGTCAAACAAACCGCAGACGACACATACCAAACTGGCTATAGTTGTCTTGTCTGAGGGGCGGATCAATTAAAAAAATGATCTAACTTGATTAGCAGATATTGTTCCCGTGTGAATCATCTTATGATTTTCATTTTGAAATGAAGACCAATTGAAATTTTATAACATGTATAGGACCGCTTTCTTATGCCCGCTTCGCCTTTTCCCTAATACGAGGAGTATACTAGTTATGCACCTGTAACACTTACAAAGATTGCGACAGCATATACTTGATGTAAAAGCTATAACATTCACAAACTAATCTGTGGTTTTATCTCAACAGTACTGAGGAATTTCACTTGAAATACTCATGGAGTATTGCATAGTGCAGTGTAGTGAAGTGAAATTTCAAAGTTCAGTATATATTTATCGGGCATGCCTTTCGTTCCAAATAGGGACACGGTGATATCCTCTCATGATGTAGTGCATGAAGGCCCATAGCAACGGTTTCAAAAGGGGGGGGGGCAACTTCCCAAAAATTTGACAAGGAAAAAAAACTTATTAACTGTCCAAATCCTGCAATTTGACAGTGCTTGACCTTACAACAGCAAAAAGTTTGGGGGGGGGGGGCACCAAAAGGAAAATTTACTATAGTAAAATACTATACTCAGAAAAAGTGGGGGGCTGCCCCCCCCCCCCCCCCCCGGCGTTCTACGGGCCTGGCATTTAAAGTTCCACGGCCGTCGCCAGGTTTTTGGAAGGAGGAGGGGTCTTTCGGAGTACCTTCTCCTCAGAGTCAGAATTGGTACCATTTTAGTGAGAACTTGAGTTTTCTTGCAGTCATTCTTTCAAATATTAAAGAACTTACTCAAACAGTATTACTTTCAACAATTAAATAATGAATTTCTGAAGGTTTTTTTTCTTGGAAAGGTATGGTGGCATATTTCTGCCCTCCCCCTCCCCCTACATGCAAGATAAATTATGTTAATATGCAACATAATTATTTAGACATGCAACTTATTTATGTCAACATGCAACATAATTATACATGTTCACTTGCAAGTTACCAATCTCTTTAGAGAATCTAATTCTAATGTTGTTAAACTTAATTACTGACGCCATTATTTGACATCATACAAGCAAGATGCAACAGATTTATGTTGACATGCTACTTATTTATATTAAGATGCAAGATAATAATGTAGACTTGTAAATTATTTATGTCAATATGCAACATATAATTACGTTGACATGTAATCATTTATGTCAACATGGCATTGTGCAAGGTAATTATGTTTACATGCGAGTTAATTACATGTATGTCAACATGCGAGACAAGTATGTTGACATGCAACTTATTGTCTCGCATGTTGACATAAATATCTTGCATGTTCAAATATAACTCGATCGCATGTATAAATAAGTCACATGTTGACATAAATAAGTCATATGTTGACATAAATAAGTCGCATGTTGATATAAATAAGTCGCATGTTGATATAAATAAGTCGCATATTGATATAAATAAGTCAC